CCCCGCTCTTCACCCCCATAACCCCACTCAAAGAGAAGCAACCCTCCTGCCCCCAAAAGAAAGCAGAAACACAGCCTGTGCAGAAAGCATTCCAATAGCTAGTATCTCAGTTAGTAAATAACAGCACATCAATATAGATTTAAAAATAACTATTTTGTTTTACAAGGTACTGTTGCAGTTCTAATGCAAGTTAAAGTTCAGAGGAGAGACAACAAGCAGAAGAAACTTCAGATACGCTCACAAAGATTAGAAATACATCACAGCCTCTGTATTCCCCATCCCAAACCCAAACACGCCTCTCTGTCTTTGCACAGTAACTTCGGGATTGTTCAGAGGATCCTTTGGAAGCAATTCACAGTTTGATATCAAACTGTTCCCTTTACCCCTGCAGCAGTGGAGTCTCTCCTGCACTACTCACATCACTCTTCTCTGTCCTCTGCTAACAAAATTCTTAAGAACTAATCTGGGATTGAATGTTCCCCCACCACCAGCCCCAAACTGCAATTTGAAGGCCCGTCACACCATTTTCAGTGCATCTATAAGTAATTAGTTTTGTGTAACTCATGGCCCTTTCGGTTCAGTTAAAGTATTTCCACCTTTATAGCAGCCTGCTAATTATAATCCCATTAGAAAAAAAAAAAAAAAAAAAATCAGGTGTCAGTGCTCAAAGTTTCTCATTTTCCTTCAAGAGTCTCATTTTTGCAGCTTGTCTTCTCCAAAGCCAACTACCCACATACCAACTCCCTTCTTTTGTTCCACTTTTTTTTTTCCCCCCCATCTCGAGGCACACCCTTACCTGAATTAAGCAATCAAATCCTACTGCCATTTGCTTAGCACTCTCTGTTTGTCTCTACTGCATCTGATCCTGTTCTATTCGCCTCCACTCAGTGAAGGACAACAGTAGTTGTACTCTTTGTTCCTTAAACAGGCGTTGCCACTTCATACCCTTCAATTTAAAACATCACACCAGATCCATCATACATCAAACAGAATACAACAGTCAAACAACTTTGTAAACCCATGCCCCTCTCACAGATTCTCAAGTGTATGATGTTCCATAAAACCTTCTAGCGAGGATGAGCCACAAGCCAGTGAAGTCTGCTAGAGCTGTCAGGCTACTCTTGGATCCAAGTCCAAGGAAATTACTCTCTTTGCCTAGCTACAAATCACTGCTGGAGCCTTTTCCTCTTGACAGACACATTATGGATCCTGTATTTCTCAGGAACACAAGAATCCTCAAACAAAATTAAGTCAGAAAAACCAGTCACTCAAGCTAATTTGAACAACCCCCTACCTACAACTGCAAAGCTTTTGAAGGAAATAACATTCCAGTTAACACTCCGGTGAACACTTTGCTGGACCAATCTGCTGCAAAACAAACCTGCATTTTCAGGACTTCTTTATACAAAACCAAACACAAGGTTTTGTTCAAGAGCTACACCTGCAAAAGGTATTAAGTTTGCATTTTGTTTGTTACAGTAACATGCCCTCTGCTACAGTGTCATTTTCCCCACATATTCAGAGTCCTGCTGGTGAATTTTATGTATAATAACCTAATATCTACAGTTGCAATATATTTGCATGAAGAAAGTTACAGTGACTACAGCATTTTTGACTTCTCCTCAGAAGAGGAA